AGGGGGGGGGGACTTCTTAGTGCTCGGGACAAAAGAAAAACTCCACACGCCTACAACACAGAAACTGGTGGTCCAAGAAGTTCTTTGCTCTGTAAACTTTCTACAACGTTACCCACCTTCAAAGCACCTTCTCGGGGCGCCCCCCTCTCTTTCATTCACTACACAGCTTTTTAATCATTGACTCTATTATCTCTTTCCGCACGGAACCAGCGATCGCAAGAGAATCAAAGAGAGCAACTTGGCGAAGAAACAAGCTCGGGAGTCGGTGGACGCCGATGCCACGCCTCGGCAGAACAACACAGTGAGAAAGCCGAACATAATGTTTATCGAAGACGAAGACCGCAAGAACAAATGGAAAAACCACGAGGGAGGCAGCGGCAAGCGGAGCACCCGAGATCTCAAGGGGGAGATAGCGGAAGCGGAAGTGTTGCAAATGGTAACGGTGGCCAAGACGTACAAGTGACGGTGAGTGTCTTCTCAGCCAGAAATAGACACGGTATAGACAGATCTTCCTTACAAAACACACGCCAGTAGACTATATTGTTTGTAGGATGGGGATAATCATTTTTATGCGCCTGCGTGACAGACGAATTATATTTAGACCCACTTATCTTAAGGGGTATTTTAGGCAGATTTATATTGGTCACGGGAACAGTGGCCTGAAAGGCAGATTTTAAGAAATAAACATTACGTTCACTTCTGTGTCTGGCTGTGGTTTCCAGATTGCATCACAGTTAAAGCGTATATTTGATATACAAACGAAACATTCTTGTCGTTGCTTCCTCTTTACAAGCACATTACAATTAATTTCAGCCTATCGGTCCATCTTATAAAAATGTACCGACAATAGTATCTGCATTTTTTACTTAGATATCGATTCAGTCATCGAACTTGAAGAATCTGACTTAGTTCTTTTGTTTTAAACGTTTAATTCCGTAATGGGTACTTAATGTTCAAAGCGTCGTCTCAATGTAAGATAAACTTTTAGTCTCTTACATTTTCTCAGAACACAAAAGCGCCCATACGTTTTGGAAGAAGCAAGTGAAATAGATTGCAAAAATCCGCTCCGTTACCACTTGGCTTCCCACAGTTCTGAGCTGGGTTCATATTCGGTGCAATGAGGTTGGCGTTTGAGTCCAGGCTAGATTAGAATTTATCTCATGCTTCCTGGAATGTTTTCGGTTCCCTTCGGTTCCTCCCCCTCCTCCTCCCAAATCGCCCCCTCCCACCTCTCTCTCTCTCTCTCTCCCCCTCTCTGTTTTTATCCCTCTTTGTGTATGTGCGTATGTGTGTGTGTGTGTGTGTGTGTGTGTGTGTGTGTGTGTGTGTGTGTGTGTGAGTGTGTGTCTGTCTTTCTGTGGCTATGTGGGTCTGTGTTTCTGTGTTTCTGAGTCTGTATATCTGTGTGTGTGCCCGTGTGTGTATATGTCTGTGAGTTTCTGTGTGTGTCTGTGCATCTATGTGTTTGTATGTATCTGTATGTGTCTGTATGTGTTTCTGACTTGAGTCTGTCTGTCTGTTCATCTGTATGTTCATCTGTCTGTCTATTTTCTGGCAAACTAACCCCCCCCCCTTTCCCCTAACCCACAAACGTATCTGCGTATAAACTTACCATAACTCCGTCTTCGATTTTTATCTTGTTCTTGCTCCACCTAGTGATGTACTCGTAGTAGCCTTGTTCCACGTCTGTTCTCTTTTGGCTAATAATAAATGCGTCAGCAAAATCCACGAGGCTGGACGTTACATAATCGAAATTAGGGTGTAATTTGCTTCGAGATGACCATGTTTAGCATGTTCTCTCTATGTTCCCAGGTATTAGTCGGCCACCCGAAAGTTGGTCTTCGTTACCGAGCCTTCAGTATACCCCAGCACTGCGCGAGATAGTTCATCAGGAAAGCAATCGGATCTTCGGCAGGAAATCAATGTGGGTGCCCATTGCGGACCGGATCGGGTTGGGTCGGGTCGATGAATGGCGGCTTCGGTGCACACTGCCAATAGACACTTTCCTTGTTGTGTCAAATTATTTCCATAAGTAACAGAAAACCTTGACTGGTGGTATAGTACACGACACTTCCCGTTCATAACATTGCCGCAGTTACTATATTGAAACATCCTTGAATCCTTCAGACATGGGAAATATCAATAACGTTCTAGATTTATCATTATCAGCCTCTGCAAATCCACACTCTCCATTGCCGCATTCTGTGCGCAAAATCATATATGACCCGATGATTGGCTGTACACATTCGATCGTTCGACTCGTGACCTTGAAAAACAAAAGCTTTTGAATTTGAAGGTCACAATGGAATTCGGTCGAATTAAAAGCCTCGGCGACAGCTCTTGTCCCTCCATGAAGAAAAAATATGTCTGTCCCCGACTCAATCCAATTGGTAATGTGCTCTGGGTATTAACGAAACGGCGAGACGACACCGTCACGAAATAATTCACGTCAACGAGAACTTTAGCCTGCCTTTGACATCGCGCTTGCACAAAGATGCGTGCATTAAAAAAAATCTCAGTACAGGTTTACTACGCTCTTGTAAGGTTCCATGCGTACGAAAGCAAAGAGGTACTTTGCTGTCTCCTGGCTTAGCGACGTATCTGGCAGAATCGATTAAAACAATTGCTTTATTACACTAGCCCTGCCCACATCCTTCTTGGGCTAAAGGCAGGACGACGTATTTACAATCAAAATCGTAGCTTTCAAAGTTATTCAGTTACAAAAGTGACAGGTCTCAACATTCATGCCAGTACCAGAGTAACGTATCTACATTTTCGCGCATATCATGTTTAGAAACATTGATAACTTTAAACTATCTAAGAGTCAATTTTTTGCCCACTTTTCTCAAACTTGTGAACTATGCAGTTACGTCTCTCTGTCAGTACTGCTAACTGATATTATAATGAATGATGACGCAACCATATTACAAACTCACTGGGATCGTAACAAAAGATCTCATGTGATCAGAGGCCGCATTCACATTTCTTTGAACGTAATGTCCTATGACGCAATGGCGAATGGCCAGACGAAACGATTCGCTACTCAAAATTACTTATTCATGGGATCTGACAGTATTTATGGACGTCTGTCTTAAAATAACTTGATAGGCCCCGGAAATAACAAAAGCTCTGGTCTATAAACCGAATTCCTTGGCCCTCCGTCCCCTCCCCAACCCCACCCCAGCTAATGCTGCTTGATTTTTCTTTGGTTTTTGTCTTTTATATTATTGTTGTAAGAGGCAGCATCAGCAATAGATACAGCAATTATTAGTCAATATAGTTATAATTATATGCACGCCCGCCTAGTTCTTTTTCTAAAATGGGTATCTGTTTCGTAACCATAGTGACCTCCCCCCCAAACCGTCATTCTCCTCAATTTCTATGTCTAAACTCTATTACGTCTCTTCCTTTTTATCTTTCTCATCACCAACTTGTCTTCCAATGAGTGAGAGTGTGCCTCTGTTGATGTGTCTTTGTGTTCGTTTAAATGTGGATCGATTCCTTTTCTTGTTAATCGTGTTTATCTGTCTCAATCTTACCCCGGGGCTGTTTTGCAAGAAAGCAACACAACTGTGCCCATAGCATTCCTCTGGCATCCTCACGTGAAACAAAAATGTTGTCTGCTTACCTGATTTCTTCTCCTACACGTTTAGCCTCTATATACATTTCCTTACATGTCCCATCCATCTCTTACGTCTGCAATGATGCTACTCCCCCCTCCATCTCTCTTTCTTTCTATTTCTCTCTTCTCCTTTTTTTCTTTCTTTCTTTCTCTTTCTCTTGCCGCCTCCACGCTGTCGTTTGTTGTCACCTGACATCCCAATCTCTCCTTTATTCATCCGCCCCCTCTCGCTCCTCCTCCCCCCCTTCTCACTCTATCTCTCTCTCTCTCTTCTCTCCATTTTGTCTGTACGTCCCTATTCCTCTCCATCTCGCACTCTCTTGTGTTCGCTCCTTCTTTTTTTTGTTCCCTTTCTTTCTTTATTCTTCTCATTTTTTCTTCTTCTCTCTCTCCCTCTCAATTGTTTGCGCTTATTTTTCCATTTTCTCATTTTGTTGATCTTGTATTTTCTGTAAATACCTACCTACCTACCTACCTACCTACCTACCTACCTACCTACCTACCTACCTAC